GAGCTCAGCTGCACTTGGCCCTGAATAGCTCACACGCAGAACCTATTCCCCAAAGCATGTTAGGCTGGTAGTTCTTAGCGAAAGACTATCCTTCCCAGATTCCCTTGCAATTAAGGGTGACCACATGACCAAATTCTGACCAATGACATATGAATGAAAGTGTGGTATGCAAATTCTGAGCCCCGTCCTTAAAGGAAAGAAAGTTGCCTTCCACTTTCTCTTCTACGCTTCTCACTGGTTGGGATGCAGTTGTGATGGCAGGAGGTGCAGTAGCCATCTTGGACCATGTAAGAAAGGGCTACATCCTAGGAATGGCAGAGCGACCAGCTGGAAGGAGCCCAGATGACTGATCCCTGACACCGGAGCTGTCACATCAACCTCGAAGTGCTCCGTGCAAGAGAAACAGCCTTCTATTTTGTTCAAGCCACCGTTCTTTTGGTCTTTGTCGTAGCAGCAGGAGCCACATGCTGACTACCACAGAAGGGACTGAAAAGGACAGGGAGCATTTTGGAAACATTGGGGGTGCTCATCAGATATCACAATGTTTTCTCCCACCATCGGTTTTCCCCAGATTGCAGGTTGAAGGGAAGCCCCCATGGGACCCGGGGACATAGTTGCAAGAGTCAGGGTGAGTTAGTTCGTGGGATCGGTCTGTCTCACGAGCCGGCGTCTGTGAGATCCCCAAGGCTCCAGAGCAATGAGCCCCCCGATCTTGCAGCAGGTGAGGCGAAGGCTGCAGATCCGAGTTTCCCTTCACCGCCGATGAGCACAACATTTTGATTAAACCGCTGACAACTCTGCTGTAGGGCAGAGAAATTTGGAAACATCAGGAAATCAAACTGTGAAGTCTTCGAAGGCATGCGATTCATGTGAAAATGTGATGAAGCTAATGTGCTTGGCTCCAGCGCTGGGTGGCACGCCGGCTTCTGGAACCGAATCTGACGCTTCTTGGCTCCCGGTACCTCTGCTTTCCCCGAATACGGTTAGCTGTGTGTGCCCCGTGCGTGTGTGTTCCAAGCCTGACTGGCATCGGGAGCTTTTACTGGAGCCGTATGTCCCGGACCGTGTTTCCAGGCTGTGCGCCTGTAACCGGAGCCACACACACGTGCACACACACACACGCACACATGTGCATGCACACAGACGCGCGCACACACGTACACACGCACATGCACACACACGTGCATGCACACACACATGCACACACATGTGCATGCACACAGATGCGCGCACACACGTACACACACCCATGCACACGCACACACACGTGCATGCACACACAACACGCACACACATGCACGCACAAATGCACACATACGCACAACACGCACACATGTACGCACACGCGCACACACCGTGCACGTACACAGATGCACGCGCACACACATACACATGCACACACACCCACGCACGCACAGATGCACACACACAACACACACACATGCACGCACGCACATACCATGCACGCACACAGACGCATGCGCACACACGCACACACACCCACGCACACACAGATGCACACACACGCACACATGCACGCACTCACAGATGCACACATACGCACAACACGCACACACCGTGCACACACACAGACGCACACACACACACATGCACATACACCCACGCACGCACAGATGCACACACATGCACAACACACACATGCACACACCTTGCATGCACACAGACGCACGTGCACACACACATGCACACACACACGCACAGATGCACACACACGCACAACACGCACACATGCACCCACTGTGCACACACACAGACGCGCACACACATGCACACACACCCACGCACGCACACACCGTGCACGCACACAGATGCACACACACCCATGTACACAAACGTGCACACACGTGCACGCACGTGCACACACACACACACTCTGAGCCACTGCTCGTTGCTCTGCTCCCGCTCCTGACACCGGAGAGCACAGAATCATTAGATTTCTGGGAAGCTTGTTGTAGTTTTACATAATTTTCTTGATGCACTGCGGACTTTTGAACGGGCGTTCAGTGCCCCGCAGATGCGCATCCCAGGTCCAGTTTCCACCCCCCGGAGTTCTTGGAACTCGGTCCCCTTGCCCATGCAGAGGGGGACTTCCCGCCTGACTCAGGCAGGCTCCCGCAGGGGGAGGGGGCCTTTTCCAGGACGGGGCCACTGCTGAGGGTCGGCGTGGGGGGCACTGTGAGGAGGGAGAGGCGACGGGGAGAGGGAAAGGACGGGGGTCAAAGG